ATTTGCAATGACGTGGATGGGACTGGAGGGTATTGTGCTGAGCGAAATAAGTCAAACAGAGAAAGACATGTATCATATGACCTCACTGATATGAGTAATTCTTAATCTCAGGAAACAAACTGAGGGTTGCTGGAGTGGAGGGAGAGAATCTTAAGTAGCCTCCACGCTCAGCATGGAGCCAGTCACAGGGTTTGATCTCACGACCCTGAGATCATGACCTGAGCTGAAATCAAGAATGAGAAGCTTAACCTACTGAGCCACCCAGGCGCCTCTAATAATTGCTATAAGAATCTGGTTCACTTATGTATGCCCTGGAGAAGAAACTTATGGGCCTCTTACTTGGGATAACATTTCATGTGATTTTTTGAATTTTATTTGAAAATTTCTAGCTGTAAACAGACCCCAGGGTACAGTAAAGTTAATAAATCGTTAAATACTGTTTTCACCTAATAAGGTTTCACTATGCCAGATGTTCCTGTTCCTTCTCTTGGTTTTGTAAGAAGCAATGAAAATGAAATACTGTCCTTGGAACTATGTGTTGATCTCTTCCTCTTTTGAATTTATTTTGTGATATATTAATTTTATATAGTTTACAGGCTGTGCATTTGGATCAGCTGCTATTTGGCAGTATGAATCACTGAAATCCAGGGTCCAGAGTTATTTTGATGGTATAAAAGCTGATTGGCTGGATAGCATAAGACCACAAAAGGAAGGAGACTTCAGAAAGGAGGTAAGGATAAACATGGCTTTCTTTGTTCTAGTTGATCACAAGTTTTGAAGTCTGGTTATTTGTGAAATGTTAGTGATTGATAACATTTAGATCAGTAGATACGAAGTTACTGAACTTAATCTTCTTTAGAGTCATTTCATTGCAGTGAGTATCAGTGCTTTGTATGTCTGGCAATACTGTACTTGACGGTGTTCTAAGAAGCTTGTCCCTCTATCCACCTGTATCAAAAATCACTGTGGATAGTTGCTGAAAATTAATGTGTTGGGGTCTCTGTAAGCCCTACTAAAGTTTAAGGGCTCCTGTTTTGCATTACCTTGCTGGAATATTTTAGAGTACGTAGTAGAATCACAGGCGGTTTTTCGAAGCACCTATGCCTTAGGTGTAGAGATATTATGTGGATTTTAAAAAGCGTCTCTGTGACATGATGTTTACATAGCTCTGATAAATACCCACTGTGGAATATTTCTAACTGCTCAGGGGATGAGGATGCAAGAAAAAGGTGCAAATATAGAGTTTTTAGAGCTTTTCATTTTTTCACATGCAAGTTGGTGACCCTCTTTCAATTTCTTCTTAACTGATTTTTTTTACAAATACTGCCTTTAAGATAAAACATATTTATTTCACTTGACAATACTTAACTGAGCACTGAGGCCCTAAGTTAATATGTGGTTCATTTGGTTTTCAAGTGACCTTTGTTTTTTGTTTTTCGGTTTGTTTTTGTTTTGTTGTTGTTGTTTTTTGATGACACATGCCTCTCCACTTGAGAGAAGGTTGATGTCCTCTTAATTTTCTCCTAACGATAATTCAAGACTTTTCGAAGTACAAAGAAGTATTCATTCTTTGTTTCCCCATAGACATATGCAAGAAGCCTGAACCTTACCTGTTTTAGAGAGGCTTTGTGTCCGAAGGACAATGGGTGTAATCATTTGCAGGTGAAAGCTACGATAGCTAACAGTGATTTATTCAGAACAGTATGTTTGGGAAGATAGTAACACTGACCTGTTCCATAATCCTGGATTCCTTAGAAGGCTATAGGTTTCCAGCATGTCTATATTATAAAGTATTTTTTTGGAGATTTTATTTTAGAGAGCTTGAATGAGAGAGAGAGCACGCGGGTGCATGCGCGTGCTTGAGCAGGGGAGGGCAGATGGAGAGGGAGAGGCAGAGAATCTCAAGCAGATTCCACCCATGGAGCCTGATGTGGGGCTCACTCACCGCCTTGAGACCTGACCTGAGCTGAAACCAAGAGTTGGGCACTTAACCAACTGAGCCACCCAGGTGCCCTATATTATGAAGTTTTGATGGTCCAAAGGGTTCTTTAGAATGGTGAAAAGTGACACAAGCAATAGACATAATCTTTATCCAAAGATGGATTGGTTTATAGTTAAATGATAGGTTATAAAATACAAAATCCATGCCCATTAAAGAAAATTAAAATAATACATAAATATAACATGGGAAGTGAAAGCCCTGGAAACCCCTGCCATACTGCTACATATGTGGGGAGTAAGGTCTGAAAGCTCATACACAAATTATAAAAATGTAATGAAAATTCAAAAAAAAAAAAAAAGTAATGATTGTTTATGGATCTGTAACTTTGTTTTTAACCTTGCATTTCTTTCTATATTAGTATTCAAAGTGTGGTTCAATATCATAGTTAGAATATATTTTTTATTTTAAAACTTTAATCATGGAGGGTGCCTGGGTGGCTCAGTCGTTACGCGTCTGCCTTTGGCTCAGGTCATGATCCCAGGGTCCTGGGATCGAGCCCCGCATCGGGCTCCCTGCTCGGCGGCGGGAAGCCTGCTTCTCCCTCTTCCACTCGCCCTGCTTGTGTTCCTGCTCTCGCTCTCTCTCTCTGTCAAATAAATAAATAAAATCTTTAAAAAAAACAAAAAACAAACTTTAATCGTGGAAAAATTTCAAACAAAACTAAAAAGTATAATGAACCCCTGTCATCCACCTTCAGTTATTGACACAAGGCCACCTTTGTTTCATTTAGTCCCCTTTGTTTCCTTTCCTTCCCTGCCACTGATTACTGTAAAGCAAATCCTAGGCATATTTCAGTGTGCGTCTCTGAAAGTTTCGGATTCTCTGTTTTTCTGAACCTCAAATTGTTATTATACCTTAAAAGGTAGTTTTAGAAAATATTTTTGGTTAGAATTTTAAGACTAGATTGGACCTTGGTAAATAAATCACTTAAGCTTGATACCTGTGTATATCTTGATAGTGTGCTAGGTGTTTCGTTATTAATATTTCTCAACAATATTGCTAGGTATCTATTGTCTCCATTTTATATATCAGAAAACTGAGGTTTAGAAGTAATTTGAGGTCACAGAGCTAAACAGTGGCTCTGTATGGAGAATGTAGACTATAAAGCACCTGTGTTTCTATTTTGCCACATATCTGTTATGTTTGTTTATTGGTAATTTTTGCACATGAGAAATCTTTTTATGCACAAAGCATTTTCTCTCTGGCTTTTCATTTTCCTAGCCTGAAAGTGTTTATCATATGGTGATAGGCAATTTTCCTTCTGTTTTAGATTAACAAGTGGTGGAATAACCTAAGTGATGGCCAGCGGACTGTGACAGGTTTGTGTTAGCTTACACGTTTTAGCCATTCAAGGGAAGAGAAATCAAACCAAAAGGTACAGTATGTCATAGTCAATGGCTTTTGTACCCTGCTCACCAGTGGTTTAGAAGACAGAGTCTCTGTACCTTCAGGCTAATGTAATAGTATAAAAAGTGGTGTGGCATAAAGGTGTACATGATGCTGTGGGTCACTTATTTTCTAATTTTGATCTAGTATGTTACTGATTGATCAAATAATCTTTGTTGTAGAATCCTAGCTTGTGAAATAGGTTATGAGTAATTATTACTTATCCTATTAAAGAAATTAAAGGGGACATTGATTAAGTACCTTCTTTATGCAGAATGCTTTATACACATTCTCTCCCTACCTCACAGGGTTGCTTACCGGGTAGTTATCTCCCTTTTTACCAATAAGGAAACTGGCTTTCAGAGAAGGAACTTTTCAAAGGTCACACTGCTAGTAAGTAGTAGAGCTAAGTTTCAAAACCCAGGTCTGTCTCATTCTAAAGCTAATTTTCTCTTTCCTGCACCATGCTGTTTTTAAAGTCTTCATTTATTAAATAAATGTAAGCATGCCATGCATGTCACCATGATAATTTAATTTTTGTTCTTTGTAAATTTTTATGGAAAGATAAATCTGGCTCTTCACGGTAACGTACATTATTTTATGGACTTAGTTATTTGAGAAATTTGGGGAAATGGATTTGAAAGTTTAACAGTTGTGCAGATAGGAAAAAAAAATCTTTTAGGGAAATAATAGCAAAATATTGCTTTTTCTTTTTTAAAGATTTTATTTATTTATTTGACAGAGACAGAGAGCAGGAACACAAGCAGGGGGAGTGGGAGAGGGAGAAATAGGCTTCCCGCGGAGCAGGGAGCCCGATGTGGGACTTGATCCCAGGACCCTGGGATCATGACCTGAGCCGAAGGCAGACGCTTAACGACTGAGCCACCCACGTGCCCCTAGAATGGGAATTCTTAATGGATTAATTCGCCTCTGGCCTTTTTGCAGGCAAGCTTACCAGTTCCTTTAGACTTTATGAAATCTTGAAGCTCTCTCACAGACAACTCATTTTCTGTGTAGAACCATACCTATGCCCTGGAGAGTCCAGACTGGGACCCGCTGAGCAAGTTGGATCCCAGAAAGCCCCAGAAAGACTGGGGTTTTCTTGCCCGGGAGATTCTCCCTCACCCGCTCTCTAAGGTTCACCTGTTTGTGGCCCAGGCAGGCTATAGGGTGGAGAAAACACAGCAACCCTAATCCAACCGCTTTTTGTCTCCCTCTCCTAAGCGTCTGTCAGTTCTCGCCCTGTTAGAGTCCCTCTGGTATAATAAGAAATATACTTGGGTTTTGTTCCTGGCAAAAAACTCCTCAAACCCTTGGAATCTCCTGAGTGACAAGAGTGTCTTTTGTCGTGCATAAGAAGCCCTTTTGAGTTTATTCTAATGAGATGATTTGGGGGGCTCTAGACAGTGTCAGGATGGGGCTGGTCACCAGAAAGACCAAGAGATCAGAGGGTTGGAATTTTCAGCCTTACTCACCAGGCCTCTGGGAAGGGAGTGGGGGGTGGAGGAGGCTGCAGATTGGCTCTATAAAAACTCGAACTATGAGATTTGGTGAGTTTCCAGGTTAGTGAATACATCCACTTGCTGGGAGGGTGGCACATCCCAGTTCCATGAGAACAGAAATTCCTATGCAGGGGACCCTTCCAGACCTCACCCTGCACACCTCTCTATCTGGCTTTCCGTCTGTATCATTTATACTATCTTTTATAATAAACTGGTAAACGTAAGTAAATGTTTCTCTAAAAGTTCTGGGAGCCACTCTAGCAAATTAATTGAACTCAAGTAGAGAGTTGTGGACATCTCTGATCTATAGCCAATTGGTCAGAAGCACAGGTGATGACCTGACCTTGTGACTGACATCTGAAGTGGGGCGTGGGGCAGTCTTGTGGGACTGAGCTCTTGACCTGTGGAATCTGACGATATCTCCAGGTAGAAAGTTTCAGAATCGTGTTGATTGCCTGATGGTGCTGAAAAATACACCTCGGAGCCTCTCTCTGGAGCTTGCAACACCCTCCAATGCCCAGCCCTACCATCATCCAGCCTCCTGTCTGTCTTTCATCCTGCCTGGCTTCCTGCTCATTACTCCATTCAAAGGCCAACTCCTCTAGGAAGCTTTCTCTCACATGGGCTTGGACCTTGGCCAAAATCCCAGTATTGCTCTTAATAACCCAACTTTTGTGTGCCTTGGTTTCCTCATCTGTCAAATGGGATGCCAATAGGAATTTTTCTCTTAGGATTGTTGTGTGCAATGCTCAGCACAGAGCCTGGCATATGATAAGTACTCAGTACATGTTGGCGGGAATCTCTTTCTCCCATACATGCATATAAGCACTTTGTACCTTTGTTTATGGTCATAAAATAAAAATGACAAGAGGGAAGACTTCTCCTGCGGTTGGGCTTCTATGTCAGTTTCTAATTATTACCTCATAATGATACGATGATAGCTACTATGCATTATCAACCATGAGCAAGTGAGTCCTTGACATATACAAAGTCATTTATTCCTCAAAGTGACAAGGTAGGTGTTATTATCTGAATTTACAGGAACCAGAGTCAAAGTGTCAGAGCATCACTGAGCCTCCATCTGGCCCATGGCATTGCCCCAGTGGGAGCTGGAGAAAAAGGGGGAACCCTTGCAAACAATGCTCATGCTGCTTGTTTGTGCTGTGGGTAATAGTCTTTTGTCTCCGACTCAGAAGTCTCCTGTTTTCTGCCAGCAATCAAACTCATTAGCTTGTCGATGAAATCCCAGACTTGACACCTATGACATAACCAAAGTGAATTTATTTTAGTTTCCCAAACAAGTCATGCCCTGAAAGACATCACAAATACTATTCTCTCTGCCTAGATCATTTCAGCCCTTCTCTTCTTTTGGTCACCTCCATCAGTTTCTCTGGGAAACCTTCTCCCCTGCCTCCCGTTCCCCAACCCTCAACTGTGGTATTTCCCCCTCTTCTAAGCTCCCACAGAGCCTTCAGTTTCTTGGCTCATAGCACTTCTCACAATGTGTTGTAATTGCCTGTTTATTTACTTGCTCCCTTCTCCCCCAGTAGAGCAGTATTTCTGTGAGGTCGGAGATAGTGTTATCCAAAATACATCCTAGCACATTGCCTGGCATACTAAAGGTGCTTCATAAATATTTATGGGATGAATACAGTACTATTACAGTGATAAGCATAAAGCAGTATAAAAGCGTAAATGGAGATCATCTAAATCAGACTGGAGGTCTCGAAAGGCCTTAAAGGAAACTAAAATATGTCACCCCAAAATATGCCTCTTTGACATAAAAATTATTTTGAGCTGAAGGCAATTAAGAAGCAGTAAATCCTAAAGGCAGGGAATATCTCCTTTCCTAGAAACACTCTCAACAGCTCAAAGACCAGAAACCAGGCACCAGAGGAATCTGCAAACAAACCTTGTTAAATTAACCCAGATCTTTCTCATTAAGGAAGATAAGGACTACCTAGCCCTAGTTGGACTAACCCTAACCTGAACCTCACTGTCAATTCTTCACAAATTGTTGTTTCTTTATCTAAGATATAAAACCTTCCTGCTCTGGTCTCTTCTTCAGATCTTGGTTCTCTTGTGAAGACTCCCATGTATATGTAAAAATAAAATAAAATTTGTATGCTTTTTAGGGACGCCTGGGTGGTTCAGTCGGTTCAGTGTTTGACTCTCGATTTTGGCTCAGGTGATGATCTCAGGGTTGCAAGATGGAGCCCCAGATCAGGCTCCACACTCAGTGGGGAGCCTGCTTGAGATTCTTCTCTCCCTCTGCCCCTCCCTGCTCGCATGCACTCTCTCTCCTAAATAAATAAATAAATAAATAAATATCTTTTTAAAAACATCTCTATGCTTTTTCTCCTGTTAATCCTTGTCAGTATAATTCTCAGACCTGGCTAGGGATCCCCAAGACAGTTGAGGAAAACTTTTTCCTCCCCTACAGCCTCCTAGGAAAGGACAATTGAGGTTGGTCTGAAGGACAAGTTGGTTAGGTAGGTTGAGTAGGGAGGTAAGAGAGGGTGTTTCAGACAGTGAGAATGGTCTATGAACTCGGAAAAGCAGGTGCCTTTAAGAAACTGCTAATCATACAGTCTAGCTGCAGCTAGGGTTGGAGGGTGGGTTGGAGTGGCAGGAAATAAGGCTGCCTGGCAGGTAGGCAAGGGCTGAATCATGAAGTTTGTATTCCATCTAGAATACAGATTTTGATTTCAGGTTTGGACTTTAATGTTAAAGATCAGAGGCACATTCTCTTAAGTGTGTCATAACATGAAATGGTGAGGGGCACCTGGGTGGGGCTCAGTCCGTTAAGCACGGCACTCTTGATTTTGGTTCAAGTCATGACCTCAGGGTCCTGAAACCCAGCCCTGGGAAAGGGCTCTGCCCTGGGCCTGGAGCTGGCTTGGGATTCTCTCTCCCTCCCCCACCACCCCCAGCGCTTTCTCTCTCTAAAAAAATAAAATAATAACAACAACATAAAATGGTCAGATGCAGAAGAAAAAGAAATAATATAAATACAATGATGCAATGGTTCCTCCACTCACTCCTCTCTGAGCCTCTGTGAACAGTGGTGATTCTATCTGCCTCAGGTGTTTGGTGAGGATTAAATGCAATAACTTAGGTAAAGTGCTTGATACGTGGCAACACGAAATAAATGCTAGTTTTCCCTTCTCTTTTTCCTCTGGACCTCCTCCGCAAACTGGGTGGAGGCCGGGGCGCTCTTCTGCGCCCGCCCCAGGCCCGGGCTCCGCGGGGCAAGAAGAACGCCCTCCCGGCCGCCGGGTGTGTAGAGACGCGGCTCAGCCGGGCGTGGGGGCGCTCTAGGCTGCACCTCGGCGCTCTATGGTTTTTCTTTTCTTTTTTTTTTTTTTTTTCCTTCGCCCCGGAAGTAGTTCCGCGGCAGGGGTTGGTAAGGTCGGGCCATGGTGGGGCAGAGGTTGGGAAGATGGCGTGGCGCGGCTGGGCACACAGAGGATGGGGCTGTGGCCAGGCGTGGGCTCAGCCGGCGGGCGGCCGCAGCTGCGAGGAGCTCACTGCGGCCCTGGCCCCGCCGCGACTGCTTGGACGCAGGTAATGACCACCGCTCCGGGCTGCTTTTCCTTCGGACCCTCAGCTCCGGCAGAGCATCCTCGGGGGCGCAGGCCGTGCGGGCCTGTGGGACTGCCTTCTCTCACCCCTGTCCTGACCCGTCTCTTCCTCTCTCCGTCCCGCTTTCCCCTCTCGCCTTGCCAGTCCTCGCTTCTCGCCGTGCCACCGTGCCCCGAACAGGGTGCCCAGTGACCGACCCCGGCGCAGCTTTCCGTGAGCCCGCGCTGTCTGCCCCTTTCCCCTCGGGATGGACGTGAGGGGAAGGGAAACTAGTCTCTGAGGGCTCATTGCGTGCCACGCCTCATTAATCCCGCGAAGAAGGTATTGGGCCGATTTTTTAAGTGAAGCAGTTACACAGATGATAGAATGGCAGAACTGATTCTCTGTTTTTATAAACCTGTGTTCTACTACAAGTTATCTTCTTTCGCGTTTAGAGAACGAAGGGAAGACGGAGTCACAGGGCTTTTGCCTTCTTCAAAGTCGTAGGAGAGCTTTTCTGTTGAAGAAAGGAGACTGTGGAATATTTAGTTTCCGGATGATTTGGGAAGAAAACTATAGTACTGGTTTTCCCAAGTAGAAGCTGTATGAAGAGTATGCTCTATCAGTATTTGCTGCTTTTGTTAATTCAATTCTAAAGAGAAGAGAAAAATCCCTCAGCTGTCCAAGATTTTGATGTGTATTTGACTTGAAATTTGTTCCTATTCTTTAATCCAGAGTTTCAACCTTCCCGGTTTCTGAGTTGGGTTCAGATGCCTGAAATCCCATCTGATTGATGATAGCAAGTTAAGGTAGAGTGTTCAACAGAGGGGCTAGCCAGTGGCAAATAATTGAGGCTCCAGTATGGTGGAGCCATTGCTTAATTTTAAGAATCACCCGGAGCGTTTATAGAATATATTTCCCAGACTCCACCCTAGTTCTGTCAACTCAGAAGTTGTGGGGCGGTGGGAGTGGAAGAACCTGTAGTTCTTGCAAGCATTCCAAGTGAATTGGATTAGGGATTTGTGAAAACTTGCATACATTATAGCATCACTTCAGGATACACCTTAACTTGGAGCTTCAGGAACTATTCTTAAACTCCTGGGGAGATGGAGAATGAGGTCAGGTGGAGGTAGTGATAGATTTCAGCGGTCCAGATTCCATAATTTATTCCAAATCCCAGTCAAAATTGCATGGTTTGAGGGGGAGGAAAAATGAATATGGCTATCAGGAAGCAACAGGTGTGATAATATTAAAAATATGTGTTAGGAAGGGAAAGCAAATGAAAAATAACTTGATTAATGAAGAGCCTCCAGTAAAAAGTGGAGACCATTTGAAAGAAAACAAATGATGGTGTGATATTGATGATTAGCACCTATTTTTTTTTAAGTTTGCTGTTTGCAGAGTTTGAAAATGACATTTTTATGGTTGCATAGAAAAATGTGCATTAAAAGAGAATGTAGGTAAGTAAGCCTGAAAAGCATATGCCTGCTCACCTCTGGAAATAAGCACTTAAAGTTAATAGGAAGAATGAGTTACCTTGTATGTAACTTTATTTGGTCTGCTTTGACTTCTTGTGGTTCTAAGATTAGTGTACAGAAGAATGAAGTTAGAGATAAGGTTAAAAAGCAGAGTTCTGGGCCCAATCCTTTTGATTCTGATGTGATAGGCCTGAAGCATGGCTGAGAATTTGCCATACAGGTAATGATACAAGAGTTCTGTAAACTATGGCAGGCCTGACGCAGCCCACCAGCTAAAAATGGTTTCTACGTTTTTAAAGGGTTGTAAAGCAAAACAGTATGTGACATATGCGTTCTTCAAAGAAACTAAAATATTTACTATCTGTCCCTTTACAGAAAAAGGAAAAAATCTCAGTCTCTTCAGAAGCTTTACCATTATCAAATTTCTGGCGGCACTTCAAAGAAATGGTTTAGGCTTAAAAGAAGCCTGCATAATTTCAGTTGTATGGAGCTATCTAAGAGAGTAGTTGGTAGTTCAACTATTTTCCTTGTTTAAATTACCATCTATTAACTCCAGATGGGTTTTAAGAAAATTTTGTCATGCAAGTGTTTATGTAGAATTCCCCTCTCCCCTAAATACGTTTATTTTCTTTTCAAGTGGAATGAATCTGTTGTGTGTATGCTTGGACACATGTTGTCTCCATTTGAACATTAGGCCATTTCTACTTAATTTATTCATGAAAATCTTTAGAAACATAGACATTAGTGCTGACTTGTATGTATATCTTAAGTTGCACTGTTAAATTCACAAGACTATGTTTTCACTCACCATTAAGCCAACTAATAGATATGAGTTTTTCTATTTAAAAGTTATGGGATCATGTTAAAAAACTGAACTATAACAATTGTATGGCCAGTAGTAACTCAGGTTACTTTGAGCACATTGAGCACATTAGACTGCTTTCACAAATGACTGGTATTGGCGAAAGGACCAAAGCAGGCAGGCCTGTCTTCATGAGTTGGTATATACCTCTAATGACCCTCTCCTCCCATTCCACTCTCTGCTGGCACCATCCGTTTTATCATGTTGTTTCTCTTTGTTTTCTGAACTTATTTCAGGTAAGTGATTTATTGTCTTTTTTCTTTTTTAGATTTTTATGTATTTATTTGAGAGAGAGAGCAGGGTAAGGGGCAGAGGGAGAGACAGACTGCCTGCCAAGCAGGGAGCCCTCTGTGGGCTTGATCCTAGGACTCCAGGATCATGACCTAAGCTGAAGGCAGACACTTAACCATCTGAGCCACCCAGGCACCCCTGAATCATTTATTTTTCCATCTTTTGCACCGATATGAATGAGTGAAGCTAAAGAACCTAAGCTTGTAAATATGACCTCAAACATTTGCAGTTAGAAAGGTTTATCATGCTTTTCCTTATTTTTGCATTTTAAGAAATGTAAAACAAAAGCTCCATAAGGGCAGAATGTACCTTGTCATATAATGTTTGATGAAGTACTTCATCTAAAAGCATTTTTGTAGTAACAAAAAACCCAACTCTAACCAACCCTAAGCAATTAGGAAAATTTATTGGTTTATGCAGTTAAAAAGTCCAACAGTAGGACTGGCTTCTAATGAGGCAAGATTCGGTGTTTCAGATTGTCACCAGGATTCCATTTTTCTCCATGGCTTGGCTCTGCTTCCTAAATGTTGGCTTTATTCTCTCAGTGTGCTCTCCTTGTCGTAAGATGGCTGTCAGTAGCTCTTGGGGCTATATACTTCTAGGTTCACATCCAGCAGAAGTTGTTTCCCAGTATTACAAACAAAATATTGAAATTCACTGGACCAGACTGGCCTGATTTGGGATATGTTGCCATCCTTGAATCCCTTGAAGTTGTCAGGGAGTGGGATCTGTAGGTTGGTTAAAGCCAGTCAGGAGCTTGGTGTGCTTTCCCCAACCAAATGGCTGGAAATTCCAGTGTACTGTTAGGAGAGGGGAAAATGGACGTGGATGCTGGGAGTCGGTGAGAAACTCTCAATATTGTCAGCCCTAATGAAACTTTTGTGTTTGAATTCTTTGTTACAAATCCGAATTCTTGTTAGTCCTAGTCAGGTAGGATTACACTCTAGATAACCATTCTGATTTAAGTAGAAATTTTGTTAGGGATTCGGTTCTGGCTCCTTGCTATTGAAAATGGTTTGTGAACTAGCAGTTTAGGCATCATCTACGACAGGAGTGGCGAATTTATTTTGTGAAAGGCCAGGTAGAAAATGACAGGGCCACATATGGTCTCTGTCACATACTCATTTCTTTTACTTTAAATAACTCTTCAAAAATTCAAAAACCATTCTTAGCTGGCAGGCCAGATCCACCCTGCAGGCAGAAATTTGTCAATTTCTGAGCCTGTTTAGAAATGCAGAATCTCTCCCACCCCAGACTTAATGATTTAGAATCTGATATTAACAAGATCCCCAGGTGATTTGTATGTATACTAAAGTTTTTCCCAAACCTGTGGTAGATCAACCCTGGCTGAATATGAAAATCACCTGGGTAGCTCTTTAAAAAATAGTGATGCCTTCGTCCCACCTCTGGAGACTCTAATTAGTATGAAGTGGAGCCATAGTACAGAATTTTTAAGAGCTCAGTAGGCACTTCCAATGTGTAGTAGAGGGAAAGAAAAGCTGTTTTCCCTCTACCAATCTTAGGTTCGTTGGCTGGGGCCCTATAAATTAAACTGAGAAAAGATGAATTAGCAAGAGAAAAAGAAGCTTATGAACATGTGCATTGCACATACACATGGCAGTACTCAGGTGAATAACACAAAGGATGGTTAGAATTTGGGCTTATGTTGCATTTTAACAAAAGAACAGCAAAGTTTTAGAGAAATGACGAGAAAGGAAAAGGACTTTGTTTCTAGAGCAGCAAACTGGGGAGGCAGTATATGAGGGAGCTAATGGATATAAGGGCTAGTTAGATTTTTCTGGTGCCTTCTCTGAGAACATAATGGTCTAGAGTTGTCTCATGATTCTGTTTTTCCTGGTAGAGGATGGTAGGTATACCTTCACAAATTTATATCCTGCTTTTAGGCAAATGGGAGCAGGGCAGAGAGTTTTAATTATATCTGCTTTTCATTTGCCCTCAGCCCAAGACAGTCCTTATCGCAAAGTGGCATGTTTGGGGGTGTCATGTTCTGCTACTCTTCAGAAACCAGGAATGAGAATTACTGTTCTAAGACTAAGCTTTCATGGTCATAACAGTCTTTGCTGCAACTGATATGGTAGATTAAAATACATGGCCACAATAATTCGCAGCTCCTCTCATCCAGAGTTGTTATTGATTTCCCTGAGCTGGGTTGGTCTTGTGATTTGCTTTCATCAGTAGCATGTGGCAGAAATAATGTACAAGGTCCAGAGTCTGAGTCTTGAGAGGCTTTGCAGCTTTTACCTTTTTCCCCTCTTGGAATACTACTACTCCCACTGCCATGATGGAAGCCCCTGCTAGTCTGTTGATTACTGAGACCATTCGGTAGGAGATAGCCAGGCTCCCGGTATGGGAGTGAAGCCAGCTTCGACTGCCCAGCTCCAGTTGAGCGCTCAAATGACTGGCTGCGTGAGTGACCCTAGGTGAGACCAGAAGGACTGCCCAGTTGAGGGTGGCTAACTTAGGAAGTCTTGAGAAATAATTATGGTCTCAGAACAGTTAAGTTTTGGGGTGGTTTGTTACGCAATAATAAATGAGACAACTGGGGAAGCTTCTGCCAAATCAGGATCTGCTGACCAAAGTAAGAACTATGCTGCCTTCACCATTATTTTCACTTGCAAATTGATGCATTATGTCTTGCCTTCTTACTAAACTTAGTTCTGACTTCCAGTATTGAACCATTGTAGCACTGACCGAAAGGATACCTAGGAAATGCAGTTTTTAGCTTTTCAGCCCCTGCAGCATATGAATGTGTGCTAGGTAATAGGAATAGGTGTTCAGTGAACCAATACATTGTGCTTAGTTCTATCGAAAAGTTGTGTGTCCAACTGTAATTCCCAATACGTATATATATTCTTTTTTTATATGTATATATTCTTAATGTATGTATTCTGCATCTGACCTTAACCCTGGGGCCAACTTGTGTAATATATTCTCAGTGTCCTTGGCCCCACATTTCTTTCTAAGGTAAATATTTTAGGCAAAAGGTCTGGCTTTGCTTCAGGTTTAGATTCCCGAACTGCTGGTGTGTTTATGTTCCTTTTCAAACATTGCACTTCAGAATTTTAAATGAGTTGATGAACTGTAGAAGTAGTATTTCATTAGAACTGATTGAATACTTGTCTTCTATTATTACACTGTTGGCAGTATAGTCTCATCCTTCACATTTCTTGGTCTAATAAGAAAAAAAAAGCCAGAAAACAACACTTAGTTACAAACTTGGTCTTTAAAGGGAACATTCAGGACACCTTGGTGGCTCAGTTGGTTAAACATCTGCCTTCGGCTCAGGTCATGATCCCAGGGTCCTGCTCAGTGGGGAGTCTGCTTCTGCTGCTCTCCCTGCTTGTGTGCTCATGCTCTGTGTCTCTCACTCTCTCTCTCTCTGACAAATGAATAAAATCTTAAAAAAAATAAAGGGAACATATTCATGTTACTTTATGTCACACCTTTGTTTTTTGGCCCAAAGTGGTGGTGGTACTTTATTTACTAACCTACCTCTATGTTACTTTGAATTGTTTAATAAAAATTAAATCCCCCCCAAATAAAAATTAAATCCAGTTGCAAAGGATTAACATTTACCACTTTAAAGGTGTTACCAGTTAGTAATACATTTGGCTGTAAGTAAATTTACTGTTTAAATGAGGGGGGATAGTTAGCATAAGATGGTGGAGGTAAGTAGCTACTGTCTTTGCTCAGTAGCTCAAAAATATCAAGGTTAGTATTTGAATCCCTTGGCCTTTCTCTTGGCATTCAGGATGACTGCCTGAAATCTAGGCATTACATTCCTTATTCAAGGCAAAAAAAAGAGGGGGTATGACATTGCTGATATGTCCATTTTTATAGATAAGCAAATCTTTCCGAGAGGTACATAAAAATCCTTAAGTCTCTCATTTTGTCAGAACTCTGTAATATGGCCACCCTGTGCTATAAAGGAGGCTGGAAAAGTGAAGATACTTACCTTTTCTAGCCTCTGCAGAAAAAGGCAAGAGAAAAAGAAATAGATACAGATTTGGGATTAGCTGTTTAAGTGTATTTGCTAAAGGATATTCATAATACTGGTAACAGGGCTGTGAAGGAAGTTCAGTCATTCAAAGGAACATTGGCTTTGTTTGAATAAGTGCATCACTTTTCAAAATAGATTTCCTTGAAAGGAATAGCACTTATTTGGAAGTATGAATTATGGATTATTAAAGTTTCAAGGCAAATTACTTTATCGCCATCACCCATCCTCACCATGTGACTTCTGAGAGTTGAACTGTGGAGTGGACTTAGTGTTGAAGAAAGAGCATACTAGGCAAGTAATAGTAATAGTCACTATGCCATTTTTCTGAGTTTCAGTTTTTTTCCAGATGCCTACTAGACACCACCTGGGTATCCTACAAATGCTAACAATACTTTATTTTGTGTAAGTATTAAGTGTATAGCCATGGATTCTGATGAATGTATGCACCTGTGGAACCACCACCTAAAGATAAACATTGTTTTGCTCAGCAGTGTTTTTGAGCTTCATCCATGATGTATGATCAGTAGTTTTTTTGCTGAGTAGTACTCCATTGTGTGAATATACCACAGTTTGTCTTTTCCCCTTTCGACAGGAATTGAAGTTCTGGTTTTTAGCTATTAAAATAGAGCTGCCATGACCACAAGCATTTCAAACACTGCCCAAGATGGAATTCTTCATGTCTTATCTTCTAATTTCCTGTTTTGGTGCCTCTGATTTCCCTTGTCCTGGTGAATAGTACTGCCTTCCTTTCAGTTATTCAGAATAGAACTAACAATCATTCTTGACCCCCTTCTTTTTTCTAACAGATAATTATTGACCTTTTCTTTATTAGGGGCTGGGCTTGGTGATAGAGATACAGTGAATACTAAAGTAATTGTCCAGTTGTGGTACAGGCAATAACTTACATAAGTAGAAAAGTCTATGCAGGATGCTTTGGGACTCTAGGAGTACAAAGGAGGCACCCACCCTGGTTAATGAAGGCTTCCTGGAGGAGGAGAGAAATGAATTCTCAGGGGTCACAAGAGTGTTAACAAAGGGGTGTACCAGAACAAAGGAGTAGCACTGCTGAGTTGATGGGAGGATGAAAAATTATTGTGGGGTTTAAAGCAGGGGAATGATACTTCATTTGTGTTTAATAAAATGTGGAGGATGAATTGAAGTGGGGGCAATACTGGAAGCAATGAGGTATGTTAGGAAAAAGTAGAGTATTCCAGATCAGAAGGGATGAGCTGAGTTGTATGGGAATTTGGGAGAGATTTTTGGCCCTCTGAGAAGGCATTTGAGGAACTATTGAATGTTTGAGGAAAACTGATCCAAGAACAACATGCAACATGTTAAAATGTTTGGAGTTATGTAAGCTGTGATCCAGGCATGAAGTGAGGGACAGGAATGAAAAAAAATTTTATTTGACAGAGTTGGTTTTTAATTGGATGGTAAGAGTAAAGGAGAGAACACCCAAATGAAATCTAGATTTTTAACCTCAGTGATTAAGTGTGGTCCCTCTGAAAGACTGAGGAAGTCAGGAAATGGAGCTGTTTGTAGAGGAGGAGTTTCCTTTTGAATATATTGGTTTTAAAGTATTTGAGAGCATATCCAAATGGAAATATTCAGTATATAGTTGGAAATACAAGACCAGAAGATTGAGGTTAGGACTAAAGAAATATATTTGAATCATTTACTTAGAAGTCATACAGGCCACAGAAATACAGTTATTCTTTTATTCAGCCCAAGTGTTGGAGGGCCTGTCTGATTTCTGCTTCTAAGGAGCTTTGAGTTTAGGAGGATGTTATGTTTAGAATATGATGCGAACAAACAGGAAAGGGCCTCTACTTTGTCAGTTTAGGGGAAATTTTACAAAAGAAAATTCATGAATTTATATGGGTTGAGTTTGAATGGAGAGCATGTAAAGGAACTGTTAGAGCCTTTGAGCATATCTGTCACTAAGGGATAGGTGAAAGGAGAAGCCATCAGGAAAGTGAATTTGAAGACTAGGGAATGCAATCTTACAGGAACTAGGTAGGGCTGGTAAGTGTGATCAGTAGTGTCGAATGTTTTAAGGTCCAGCTATGAGGGCTCAAAGCAACAAAACCCTTTACAAAACATGTGGTGGGTGTCCCCAGAACTGAGTGAAATAAATAGGGGGAGAAGTAGGAAAAATCCATCAACTTAGAATGGCAGTACTTCTATAAAAGAAAGCAATTTGAATTTGGAGCGACTTTGAGGATAATACATTTAAATGTTTGATAATACTTACATTTAAATGTTTGTTCTGGAAATGGACCAAACTTCAAACAAAATAACAAAGCCAGTCTGTGCAAATTCAAACTGACAACTTAAAGTTCTCCAGCTTTTTACCAGACTACACACTGTGTGTGGAGGAGGGATACAGATGATTTTGCTGATTGATACACAGTTAACAGCCCAAACAAGGTCCCTTTAAAGTTGCCATAGTTTGTGTGTCCCTGTCCCCTTTTCTAGAAGGGCACAGTTCAGTGTTTTGACTTAGAATCCTAGCTGGGAGTAGGCATGTTGGCTTCTTTGGGGCTATAGGGTGAGAATAAACTGAGATGGTGATGGTGCAGGCCAAAGAGTGAGGCTCGTGGAGGTTGATGTTTGCAAGATGCAGCTGTTGCTAATCTCTTATTTTCCCCTTAAAGGTTTAACTTTTTTATTCAGCAAAAATGTGGATTCAGAAAAGCACCCAGGAAGGTTGAACCTCGAAGATCAGACACAGGAACAAGTGGTGAAGCATACAAGAGAAGTGCTTTGATTCCTCCTGTAGAAGAAACAGTCTTTTATCCTTCTCCCTATCCTGTAAAGACCCTTGTAAAGCCCTTGTTTTTTACTGTTGGGGTAAGTGCTTATGTCACTAGGAGTTACCTACCTTGCTGCTGTAGTGGTGAAATATTGTCTTATGAATTTGAGAACATGAATTTAATAATTGCTATTATTGTTACTATTTTTTAGAGTGCAAATGCACTTGCACGAGGTGGGGAGGGGTGGAGGGAGAGAATCTTTTTTTTTCATTATTGATACTGTTTTCTATTTTTTTATTGTTATGTTAATCCCATACATTACATCATTAGATTTAGATGTAGTGTTCCATGATTCACTGTTTGTGCATAACACCCAGTGCTCCATGCAGAACGTGCCCTCCTCAATACCCATCACCAGGCCAACCCAACCTCCC